AGCCGCATGTGGCTCGCGAGCCGCAGTTTGCCAACCACTGCTCTAGCCTATGAATTTGGGGTGGTGGGAGGCAGGACATATGAAGCTGCTGGAAGGTTTTGAGCAGAGGAAGGACATGATCTTGGCTTATGCATTCTGACTGATGGGTTAGAATAGTTCTCGAGTGGGCTCATTCAAGAACTTCCCATATGTACCTAGATCAGCGATTTTCAACCGGTGCGCCACAAGAATTGTTAAAACATGCAGTATCTGACTATTTAGTCAGGGGCACTGACCTCTTTTCCCTTAGATTGTCAAATAAAAAAAAGAAAAACATCAATAGCCATCCAGTGTGAATAAATCAAAATTATACCTATTTTTTGTCAGATCAGCAAAAAAATATATATGTTTTGGTGTGCCACAGAATTTTAGTAATTAAATTATTTGTGCCATGAGATGAAAAAGATTGAAAATTGCTGTCCTAGATTATATCTCAGAAAAGATGACTAAAAAAGAAAAATAATTTCCTGGGCTCTCTGGCACCCTTCGGGCCAAGACCAAACTCTTTGGCTGAGCTCTCAAGGCCTAGAGTGACTTGGTCCCCCATCCTGATCCAGTCTTTGCTCCATCGCTCCCCAAGACCGCTCCCGCGGCACCAGGACCTGGTCGCAGGGCCCTGTACCAGTTTCCCCTCCACATCTTACAGCAGGTGCCTCACAGCGTTAGCCCAGCAGTGTTGGGGAAAGAGATAGTCTCTTAATCAGACAACTCAGGGGAGGGGAGGTAGATAAGGGTCATTTTACCCCTACAGGAAGCGGGACCTCCAGTTTGCTCTCCTGTACTTAGAGATCTTGAGTACAGCCCAGTCATCCTGATTGAAGAAGAGATAGATCCACCACCACGCCACTCCCCGTCCTGGGTCAGAGGATGTGGGGGATGCGCACAGAGGGACATGCCCCCCACACACTAATATACCAAGCCACAGATACAGCAAGACGCATTTACAGTTTCAGACACACACGGGCACCCTGGGATGAAAGTAGATGGGGACAAACCTCAAAAACTGACAGGGACAGCCCTAGCTGGTTTGGTTCAGTGGATAGAGTGTTGGCCTGCGGACTGAAGGGTCCCTGGTTGAATTTCTGTCAAGGGCATGTGCCCTGGTTGCAGACTCGATCCCTGGTGGGGGTTGTGCAGGGGGCAGCCCATCAGTGATTCTCTCTCATCATTGATATTTCTATCTCCCTCTCCCTTCCTCTCTGAAATTAATAAAATAATAATAATTTTTTAAAAAACTGACAGAGACAATGATGCAGAACAGCTCTGTTACCCTTCCCAGGTGTGCCCAGGCTCCCTCCAGGCCCCTCCTGTCCTCTCCCAGGAGCTGGTTCAGCACCTTTCCCTTCTCCTCCACTGCAGGCATAAGGAGCAGCTCAAAGTCATGTTCATCGGGGGCCCCAACATCAGGAAGGACTACCACATCGAGGAGGGTGAGGAGGTAGGTCTGCAGACTGCCCCTCCCCTGACCCAGCCCCAGGGCAAGGGGACATTTCCCAAGCCAGGACCAGAGCCTATGGACAGGAGACGGGTGGTCAGATGGCTGAGGGTGAAGGGGGCTCAAAGGAAATCACAGTGCAATACTGCTGCCTGGGAGGTGTGGGCACCCAGTGCCCCCTTTGACAGCTCCATCCTCAGAAAGAGCCCACCCTCTGCAGGTATGAGAGGCTCCAGCTGTTAGCATCACCCCCTGGACACAGGGCCTGATGGGATGCCCTGAATCCTCCTTCCAAGCCCGAATATGCAAGATTAGCTTCCAAAAATGAGACCCAAGTGCTGAGAAGGAACTGGGTGCTCCACTCTGGCCCCAGGAGCCAAGTTCTCTGGGAAGGGTTGAGCTGGGAGGCCCCTCCTAATCTAGGACCTACATCAGTTGCTAGTAAGGGGAAGGAAGTGGGGCGGGGGGAGGGAGCGGGGGGAGGATTTGCAATTTGCCCTGAACACCCTTTTGTACCTTGAATTTTGGACTGTTTCTGTGATGCCTTCCCCAAAGTAAATAAACAACAGTAAAAATTTAAGAGAAAAAGATGGGGCCTCTTAAGGAAGGACACAGATGGGACCCCAGTTATCAGAATGTCTGCTGGCAAAGGATCACTATGGGGCCCCCTACCTATCATTTTTGGGGCCTGGCCCTGGGGTTCAAGATCCAGAGTCCAGCTTAGTCTCCAGCCTTCACCCCCACTGCTGGCAGCCCTGCCACAGCTCGGGGCTGAAGGGAACACAGGAGAATCACTCACTGGGCAAATATTTGCTGAGCACCGAATGTGGGGGGGGGGGCAGTGGGGTGAGGATCCAGCAGGCAGAGCCGGCCAGGCCCTCACCTGTCACACTTCCAGGTCCTGCACCTCCCCCGGACACAACTTCTCACATCACATCTCACTGGAGACCATTTTCTTCTGTAGAAAAAAAAAACAGGAAAATCCAAAACTGCAGAGAGAAGATGGGATTGGGTGGGAGTGGCCATGGTGGCCAAGGTCTCTCCTGCCCGCCTCAGGACACCTCCCCCATCTTGTCTTCCAGAGGCTTCCACTCCGTTAACCCTGGTCTCAATGCCCACCTCTCTGTCTCCCTCCCTTCTTGCCCCCTATCACCTCTGCACCACACCCCACCTTGGGGTCTCCCTGAGCTGCTCTGATGGATGGGTGCCCACTTAGGGACCAGGCCAAGACCTGACTTAGCTGGGAGACTGACAGATGAGGAGGACTGGCCTGAGCAGGTGTCCCCACTCTGGGTTTGTGACAGCTTGATTTAGGGTCCAGACTCCTTCCTGGTGAGAGAAGGGGAGTCACCGAGCCAAACTTTCCTCCACGCTGAGCTCAGGCCTCAGCAACAGCCCCTCAGGGGCCCAGGCTCACCCACCACTCATATTCCATTTACCCCAGGCCTTCTCTTTCGGCTCGGGTGCCAAGGGGCCTGGGCTGGGAATGTGCCAACCTGGGTGGGAATCTGACTCCCCCTAACCATGTGATCTTGGACAGGCCACATCACATCACTGTCTGAGCCCGTTTCCTTGTGGCTCCTGGGGACACTGCCCCTGCCTGGTGGAGGGAGTCAGTGTCTGTGGAGTGTATGCATAGAGCCCGGCACAGTAGGTGCTTAGGATGCATCGGTTCTCTGCACCCTCAGCTGCTCTCCCGCCTATTCTGCCTGTAAGGCCTTTCCAGGCACCAGAGGCCTGATTCAATTCAGTATCTGCCCACAGGGATCGTTAATCCTCCAGCCAGCACCAGGCCCCAAACATCATTTACTTCCAATGAAGCATAATTCCTTTTGGATCGCCCAGGGCTGTGTGAGATTTTCTGCTGTTCTGGATCTGCACCTCTGCTCCAGGCCAGGCCTGTCCCTCATCACAAGGCAGCTTCTGGGCAGAGAGACAAGACTGAGGAAAATTCCACTTCCTTTCTGGGTTTTGGTTTGATGGCTACTAATACCTTTCACCTGCCTGCACAGGGTTTGAATGTGGCCCAGACCAGACCCCTACCCCACCCCAGCTGCCCCTGATATTCGCAGGGCCTAAGGGCTATGGCCACTCTCTGGGCCCTTCCTTCTTCCTCCCTACCGTGAAAGGACCCCCCTACACACACACACACACACACACACACACACACACACACGGGCTTCCTCCCAGCTGGGGGGACGGGGCGGGTAGGATGACGGGGAGTTGCAGAATTTCCCCTAACAGACCTTGGGAAGTTTTTTCTTATTTGTTTTAAATAACTTGCATGGGTTATTTTTAATATAAAAGTAAATATTGTTTATTGTAAGAAAACATGGGGGGAAATATGAAATGTATACCTCATTCATAATCCCACCACTCAGGGAATCCCTACATCAATCCCTACACTGCCTGCATTTACACATGTATGGTCACATAATTAGGATCCTGCTGGGTGTAATTTTGAATCTTGCTTTAACATGATAACTTTAGCATTTTCTATTTTTCCACCTTACTAACAGTTACTTAAAAATAGTTTTTTGTGGTTTTTAAAAATGTTTGCTGATTTTTGTTTTAGAGAGAGGAAGAGAGAGAGAGAGAGAGAGAGAGAGATTGGTTGCTTCCTGCACACTCCGTGACTGGGGATCTAACCCACAACCCTGGGTATGTGCCCTGACTGGGAATTGAACCCGCCACCTTTTGATGTATGGAAGGATGCTCCAACCAATTGAGCCACATTGGCCAGGGCTCAAAAATAGTTTTTAATGGCTGCATAATGTCCATATTTTGACTCTATCATAAAATAGTGACATGTCCCCTGTTACTACTGTTCACATTATTTTCCTGTTCCCGCCATCGCTGGAGGTCTGTGAGCGCTGACTCCGTGGTTTGTACATTGTGTGCAGCGTCCCAGGCAGCAACATTCTGAGTAGATGCTGTCATTTTATAGATGAGGAAACAGAGGCACAGGAAGGCAAACTGAACGGACCAAGGGCACGAGGTGACCTGGCTGAGCTGAGGGCCAGGTGACGATGAATCCATGCTTTTAACTACCATGTGCTGTGATGACGCAGCCATGTATGCCCAACATGAACAAGGTGCATTACTGACCGACTACAGCCACCTGCCTAGAGATGCAATTACTTGCTCAGGAGGTGACCACTGTCCTGGTTCATCCTGGACATCATTGGTTTCAGCACTGAAGGTCCTATATCCTAAGAACCCCCTCTGGCCACCTTACAGGGGTGTGAACTGAGAAGGCTCTTCCTGCCCGTTGCCAAATGTCCTTCAGAGGCGTGTGTCAACTTGTCCCTCATGACAGACTGCAAAGCCACATTTCTCTAGTTTCATTTCTCTACTTTCTCTGAGCGTGGCTTGATTTCACTCTCTCTTTTTTTGTTGTTGTTTTTTGCTTCTTGTTTTTTGTTAATCCTCACCTGAGGATATTTTTCCCATTGATTTTAGAGAGATTAAAAGGAAGGAGAAGAGAGAGAGAGAGAGAAAAACATCAATGTGAGAGAGACACATGGATTGGTTGCCTCCCACACTCGCCCCAACCCGGGACTGGGGATCAAGCCTGCACTGAGGTATGAGCCCTTAACCTAATCAAACCCATGACCCTTCAGGCCTCGGGCTGAAACTCTGACCATTGAGCCAAACCAGCTAAGGCTGATTTCTCTTAGTAGAAGCTGTAACAAGGATCTCTATCTCCTCTAACTCCTTACATCATCATCATCATCATCATCATCATCATCATTCTTATTATTAATACCCCTAAACTATTTGACAGGGGCCTTTAACACCCATACAATGTGTGACTGATAGAGAAAAAATGTGTCTGCCTCCTCCTCCCAGCTCCATGGGGTGATCTCAGTAAACACATGAATTAGGGACTTAGGATAGAATAGGGAAGATGCAGTAGCAGCCCCCTAGCTCCATCCCGGGGAGCTAGCAGGAGGTGAGTACTGCCATCCCCCACAACCTTCAACCCACCCCAGCTTCCAGCATCATTGAGTCCACCAATTACACAGGCAACTTCCTGAGGGATTTGGACAGGCACAGCCCTGCCCCGTGCCAGGGCATCACGGTGGCCAGAGGAGCCAGCTCGGGCTCCAGAACTACTAGTCTATGCAGACTCGGCTCCAAATTGTGGCTCCAGGACTAACTGTGATCTTGGACGAGTTGCTTTACTCTCTGAGCCTCAGTCTTCTTTTTCCTTTTCTGTACAATGGGGCTAATACCAGTTTGGGAGGTTGTAGAGATTTCTGATCATGTACAGGAAAGTGCTTGCACAGCCCCTGACGCACAGCCAGGGGGTCCTCCTTACCTGGCTGAAGGGTCATTGAATTCTCCAGCGAGCATCTCAGCCAGCCTCTTGCCCCAAGCCACACACCAGCTGTTGCATCCTGGGTACTTTGGTCATCACTTGCATGTCAAGATGTGATCCCTGTGTCACTAGCACTACTGTCTGTGGCCTGTGTCAGGGGAGACTGGGGCCTCCGGGCAGCAGTGACAGAGCTGCTCATAAACTCCAAGGACTTCAGGAACTTTCTCAGGGTTCCCAGTGAGAAATCAGGCCAAAACCCTGGAAGAAGTGATGGGGAGGGTCTGAGCCTATCTGCTGTCCTGTTCCACAGGTGTTTTACCAGCTGCAGGGCGACATGGTCCTCCAAGTCCTGGAGCGAGGGAAACACCGGGATGTGGTCATCCGGCAGGGAGAGGTGAGGCGGGGCCCAGGGGCTGGGTGCTGAAGGGTCACCGGAACAGGAACCTATGGGGTCCACTCATTCTGGCTTTGGTCAAGGTCTTGTCCTCCTGCCCTCATGCCCACTGGACCTGCCCCGACCCCCTCTCCTCTCTGGGCTGCCCTATCCTCAGCACAGCCCATTTCCTCCCCTTCACTGTGGGCTGGGCTGGAACCTGTGGGTCAGTCGGAGGCCCCGGATGCAGCAGGCACTGACTGAGGACCCTGTGGGGGGATTGAGCCTTACTGACACCTCGTCCCCGCCACTGCAGATATTCCTCCTGCCCGCTGGGATCCCCCACTCTCCACAGAGGTTTGCCAACACGGTGGGGCTGGTGATTGAGCGGAGGCGGCTGAAAACCGAGCTAGATGGGCTCAGGTAAATGGGGGTCTGAGGCAGACATGGGGCGGGAGGGATAGGCAAGCAGCTGGGAAAGAATCGGATAGCTCACGACAGCTCTTCCTGGCCATCGAGCAGGAATGAGGAGGCAGTGGGGATCCTGTATTTGCCGGTTGGTAGGGAGAGATTAGGGTAGGTGCTGGGGTGGGTTTGATGATGGAGCTGGTAGGATGTTCTCTGGGACCCTCTGGTTGCCCAGGCAGCCCAGACCTCCGGCTGGGACCAGAGCCTGTGCTTTCTGTACTGCCGTCTGTTGGGGGTGGGGTGGCTGCCAAAGTCAGGCCCACCCGGCCCAGGGCAGCTCGGAACACTGCTGCTTCTCCAGCCTCTGTCCCCAGAGGCACCGGCCAGCGCACTCCTCTGCCGGTGTCTCTGCCCTGACTCACTCCACAACCAGCACTAACATTTGTATAACTCTTGCTATGGGTCGGGCGCCCGCCTAAGCGCTTTATGTGTATTTATTCATTTCATTCACACAATGATCCCCCGGGGCAGGTGTCGTTACCAGCTGTACTTTACAGGTGACGAGACTGGGCCCGGGGAAGTTGCGTTTACTGGAAGATGGCAGAGCTGGCATGATAAATACAAAGTCAGGGCCAGGACAGTCAGGATAGGGGTGGGAGTCAACCAGCTCGGTGCTGAGACGGGCACTGTTTCCAGAGCTGGGTTCCAGTTTGGTTCTGACAGTCACCCAGTCATTATCCTCCGAAAGGAGGGCGCAGCCTGTGGCTCAGGGGACACAGATTTTTTTTTGTGGGGGTGGGACACAGATTTTGGGAGGGGGCACAGATTTTTACAAAAGCTAAACTACGTTTTGTATGTTTTAACTAAGAAAATTTAAAATTCCCAACAAGTTACTAACATCTGCTATAATGCACATTTTTTTAGTTTTTGTTAATCCTCACCTGAGGACATTTTTGTTTTTGTTAATCCTCACCTGAGGACATTTTTGTTTTTGTTAATCCTCACCTGAAGAGATTTTTTTTCCCATTGATTTTTAGCGAGAGTGGAAGGGAGAGGGAGAGAAAGATGGTGTGAGAGACACATCGATTTGTTGCCTTCCACACGCGCCCCAACCGGGGCCGGAGACTGAGCCTGCAACCGAGGTACGTGCTCTTGACCAGAATCAACCCCAAAACCCTTCAGTCCACAAGCCAAACCAGCTAGGCCATAGTAGACATTTTTTAAATGCTCCCCTTTTTTTCTAATTACCAAAACCATACACATTCATTCTGGGAATCAGGAAAAGTACACGAAATCATGAACAAAATTAAAATGACCTGTCAGGGACAGGGTGAATGTTATGGTGTGTGAATGATATCTCAAAACAAACAAGCAAACGAGCAACAATAATAAAGAGAACACACACAAAAATTGTCATCCCACCAATTAAACCTAACTAAGTGCTTAACTTTCCATCTTGACTTTTTTTCTCTGCGTCTCTGCACCTCCCAACATCGCAGTCTTATTGCGAACATAGGTTTGAATTTTGCTTTTTATACAAAATCTCATGAGTATTTCTTATACTTTTAAATTCTTTTTAAAAAACACCATGTTAATGACTGCACACTGATCATATTAACAGTCTGTGGTAGAAGCAGATGCCTGGCCTTAAACTCTAAAAGAAATTTTCCCCTTGGGGCTTGATCGAGGGAGTCTTTAGTGATGGGGGGGATGGTTTCCTCAATAACATTTTTACAGCAAATTCAATAACAGATTTCATCTGGCTGCTTTGACCTTTAATAAAAGCCAGGGACTCCGCATTAAAATTCCACTCTGAAGGCAATTTCTGGATGACATCACGGGCCCGTTGTGAAGCTTTGTGGTGGCCAACTCCATCCCAGGATAGAACTTAGGGTGCCGGGTCGGGGGTGCACTGTGTCTGTAAGCAGGACCACTGCCCTTTGGGGGAAGAGCAGGCAGAGCTGGCCTGGCCCCGGGAGCTGAGCCTGGGGATTAGGCATTCAGTCAACAGACCTGCTGTGCACACAGGGGCCTGAGGCACGGCCCTGTCTGCCAGGTGCTCCTCAGGCCAGCTCCCCAGGCCGCGCTGGGGCTTGGGTGGGCTTCAGGGAGTCCACTAGAGGCTACGTGCACATGCACCTGACCTTCCTCCCAGGAAGAGATCCAGCCCTTTGCTCCAGCTCTCAAAGGCATCCATAAAAGGAAAAGGATTTCTGTCTGCGAGGCATCTTCCACATGCTGGTTCCTTAAGGTCCCATGAGCTCTGACCTAGAGCGCCAGCAGGCAGGCCCCGGATTCAGCTCTGCCTCAGCTTCTGCTTTGGGAATCATGAAGACACTTGTCATTGATGCTCTCTGTGCTTCGAAGTCTGTCTCTAGTCTGTCCTGCTTCTGCCGTGTAATCCCTGCCGAACTGCCAGCTTCTCTGAGCCTCAGAGTTCTGTCCACTTTGTAACTTGTCAAGTTTGGGGAAGTAGGAAGAGCTATGTGAATGGGGTGGGGAACAGCCCTGTCACTTTGGGGTGCACACTGCTGCTGGGAGAGCCAACTGTGGCCACTGGGTTGCACTAACAGGGTGAATGCAGCAGAGCCAGGCAGGCCCAGAAGTCAGCGCGCAGAGCTGGGCCCGAGGGAGGCGACCCTGAGGCTGCCCAGATGGGAAACTGGTCACCCATCCTTTGCTCTGGCAGGTACTACGTAGGAAACACCACGGATGTCCTGTTTGAGAAGTGGTTCTACTGCGAGGACCTCGGCACACAGCTGGCCCCCATCATCCAGGAGTGAGGCCCAGCCCAGCCCAGCCCAGCCCAGCACCGCATTCTCCTGAGGCCCCGTGCTCTGGCTGGGGGGGCAGCCCCTCTGAGAAGTGCTCCACGGAGCACCTGCCAGCCTGGAGCGGTCGGATTCAGGGAGAAAGTTTACCTCTCATAGGGAGGAGACCCCCTTGGGGAGGAAAGGAGGCTGCTCCATGGGCCTGGAAGGGAGCAGGTGGTGGATATGAGTCATATGAGGGCTCCACATGTATGTGTGGCCTAGAGTGTATGTGTGTGTGTGTGTGTGTGTGTGTGTGTGTGTGTGTGTGTGTGTGTGCACATGTCTCTCACTGACCTCTCAGTTGGGAAAGCTGGTCCCTCTCCCCCTCCCCTATGTCCCTGCAGATTCTTCAGCTCTGAGCAGCACAGGACAGGAAAGCCCATCCCTGGTGAGACCACAGGAACTGCCTTCCTCTCTCCTCCCTCCCCCCTTTCCCAGAGCAGGATGGGGCTCGGCCCAGGGTGCTAGGGAGTTCCCTTTTGAGTCCTCTGCCCAGTACTCAAGGTACAGGAAGATGGCACCAAATGGTGCCCCCCATACAGCTGCTGGGTCCTTGGGCCCATTCCCGCAATTGAGAGCTGGGGCCCCTGGGAACTGGGTCTGCTGGGCTGGGAGGGCTGGGCCAGAGGACACTGACCACAGCTGGGCTGTGGTGCAGACCAGCTGCTCATGGACACGCCGTTCCCCCTGAGCACACGATCCGTCATGGAGCCCATGTCCTTGGAGGCCTGGCTGGCTGGCCACCGCAGGGAGCTGCAGGGGGGCGCATCCCTCAACCTGTTTGGGGACACCTATGAGACCCAGGTAATGCAGCCCTGGGCCACCCAGGGCATCTACCCAGCAGCCCAGGAAATGGGAACCACACACACACACACACACACACACACACACACACGCACACACACTTCGGAGCTTATAGACATGGGCATTGGCCTTCCTGTTTCTTCCCTGACTCCAAAAATGATGTTTTTGCTATGAGTAGAGGCCTGCGGAGGCTATGTGGACCCAAGCAATTCTTTCTTTGCCTTCAGAGTGGGGTGCGGCCTCATCCAGTGATAGGTTTCTAGGGTCTGGGGTTACACCCCTGCTCGGAATTCACACACACTTCGGAGCTTATAGACATGGGCATTGGCCTTCCTGTTTCTTCCCTGACTCCAAAAATGATGTTTTTGCTATGAGTAGAGGCCTGCGGAGGCTATGTGGACCCAAGCAATTCTTTCTTTGCCTTCAGAGTGGGGTGCGGCCTCATCCAGTGATAGGTTTCTAGGGTCTGGGGTTACACCCCTGCTCGGAATTCCTGAGCCTTTGGCCAGTCACAGCGTTGGGAGTTGGAAGGGAGAAAGGTGTTTGGAGGTGAGGGTCGGGTGGAAAGGCACACCGAGACCCAAACAAAGCCAGGGCAGGGGAGTGGGGGCCACAGGCATGATTGCTAGATGGTCAGAGTAGCAGGCGGTGCTCGGGTCCTGGCGGTCTCCTGGGGTAGGCAAGGTTCAGGGACATCCTGGGGACAACAGAGCTTCACCCAAGCATTGAAGACGGGGGATGATGAGGCCAGAGTGCTGCTTTAGAAAGACCACTGTACCCTGTGTGGAGCGGGATCAGGAGGGCGAGTGTGGAGGCAAGGAGACCTGCCAGAAGGCTTGTGCTCGCTTGTGCTTCACAGTTTCTACTGGCACATCCTTGCAGTTTGAATTAGAGCACTCACCCACCCCGCCTCCCAGAGAGACGCTCACTGGATACAGACCTGCCTTAGTTTAGCAGGGCTGTGAGAGCAGGCACAGCCACAAAGCCCCTGCCACCATCATGGCAGCGTCATTCAGTGCTGACCTGGTCGCAAGGCCTTGCCTTCCACCTTTCTCACCCCTACTCCCACCTGCTTCAGTTTATACCAACAAATACCTACTGAGTCCCCCAGGCTGATGCAGATCACAGAGGCTCAGCCTCCCTCTCGCTCATCCCCTCCCACCTCCCTCCTGCTCCTTAGGCCAGAATTTCAGAGTAAGGGAGGTGGGCGCCCCTTGGGGAACTGTGTATGTGGGCTACATGGGTCTGCACTATGCCGTGCACATGTGTGTGCCCCTGCGGGTATTCCTGTGGGCCAGCAATAGTTGTGACGGGCTACAGAGGGACCCGATGTGCATGTGTGTATGGAGGGCAGACATGTGTGGTCCCGAATGGCAGGTGGGCAGCTCCCATCATGATGGAGGCAGCAGGGCAGCCTTCTCTCCAAGTCCTGGTCTTTGCATCACACAGGGGGAGATGAGGCTGTACTGCAGGCCCCGCCCCTGGCCCACACAAGCCTGGTGTCTGGGGGCCAGGTTTAAGGGGGCGGGAAGGAAGCACCAAAAAGATCTGTCACTTCCCACCAGGTGATCGTCCATGGACAAGGCAGCAGCAAAGGCTGGAAGCAGAACGTGGACATGTGGCTGTGGCAGCTGGCAAGTGGGGTCCGCAGGAGAGGGTGGCACAACCTCTTGCCCTTGGGGACCAGGCTGCTCCTGGGCCTTGTGCTCCCCGGGCCTCCTTGCCAAGGCCGACTCAGGACTCTCAGACAGCTGTTGGGGCTGGGTAGCCTCCATTTGATTCTCCTGCTCTTCTCCCCCAGGAGGGCTCCTCTGTGGTGACCATGGGGGGACAGCACCTGAGCCTGACCCCCGATGAAAGCCTCCTGGTGCCAGCCAGGACTGAGTGAGTCTGCTGGGAGGCCTTTCCCCAGCTGTGGGACTCCCTCCTTCCCTGGGATCCGTAGGGCCCAGCCTTGCCTCACCCCTGCCCACCTGTGTCTCCACAGGTACTCCTGGGAGCGAGGGCAAGGCTCTGTGGCCTTGGCTGTGACTCAAGACCCTGCCCGCAAGAAGCCCCTGGGGTGATCGTCCTGCTGCATGTGCACAGCGCCACCCCTGCCGAAACTACTTCTTTCCCGGCCCCCACTGCTTCTCAGTCTACTGCTGCTGAGTGCCTCGGCGGCCCCTCCCCCCACCGGGCCCTGGACATCATTGTCTTTCATCCTCCTCCGGTCCTCATCCTCTCGTCCCAGACTCTCCCCCTCTCCTCTACAGCCCTCAGCCCCCTGCCCCACACAGTTCGGTCAGGTGGTCTGTCCCTGAGTCTGGGCTGCCTCTCCGTCTCTCTGTCCTCACAGCCTCAGTTCACTACTTGTCTGCCACCCAGAAGGCCCTCAATAAAGGCTTCCTGGTGGATGAGCGCCCGTGGGTCTGCAAGGACACAGGCTGTGGTCGATGGCTGACCCCATGTGCTCACGTGACTGTAATCTGCAGTGTTCATGCACCGGGTGACTGTGAAGGGTGTCCCTGCTTGTAGAGGGGCTTTCATCACTGTGCCTGTGGCCTGGTCCACATGGGCCAGGTGTTTGTCCTGGAGGCACAGAGAATGTTGTCTCTCTGCCTCTTTCTCACGTATTTTCTTAACATAATTTTTAAAATAGCATCAGTTAGGTTTTTCCTCCCAATAACAGGAGTGATTTCTGCTAGTTGTAGAAAATACAGAAATACATAAAATTCCACCCCAAGAGTTAACCCGTCTTAATACATGAAGACTGTGATGAGCCCATAGAGGGCAGGTCTAAGAGGAGCTTGGCAGTCCTCCGCCCCCTGCTCCCCTGCTGTTTACAGGTGCCCTCTCCAAAGACAAGGCTCCTGGGCCTGCTCTGGGGTCAGGAGTGCTGGCAGCCCCAGAAGCAGCAGTGGGTAGAAATGAAACAGGAAACCTGTAGAGGGAGATCTTGTCTTCCTGGGGCTTCAATGAGACGTCGATGAGGGGTCTCAGGTGGGGGTAACTGAAGGTGGCGCTGGACGGAGCACGTCCCTGGTTAGAGTCAAAGCTTCCTGTGGAAAACCGGGGGTCTGAGCCCTGCCTTCTCCATGCCAGCCTGGTGGCTCACTGCTTTGGTTCATTCCACGGAAGAACAGAGAAGAGCCTGGCTTCGCAGAAGGGGCTTCTGGCCCTGAGGGATAGAAGGACCTTTACCCACCTCTCTATTCCCAAGGGCTTTCCTCTCCTGAAAGCAAAGAAAAAACATCCCCAGCCTCCCCAACACTTGCAAGCAGCCCACGGCAGTGAGGGCAGAGGCCTGGCACACGCCGGGGCTGCAGCCATGTGTGGCTCTGTGCGAAAGCCAGGGAAACACAGGAATGTCTCAGGGAGGCCCCTGGGAGGGTACAGGTGGCCAGGAGAAGAGGGAGTTCTCCCTAGTGCCTAATCCAAAACAAAAAATAATGAAAATTAGATGTTCTGTTTTTCTGAACACTAGCTCTGTGCCAGGGAATTCCCTAGAAGTTTTTACATACATTGTCTTACTTAATCCTCACAACTCCCTAGGAAGGCGGTAGCACTGCTTTAAAGATGAGGCTCAGAGAAGTTTAGAAAGCAGGCAGCTCTGTTTCCAACCATGGCCTGTCTGCATTCAGAATTAAGGCTGGTGGTCTCACCACCGTGCACCCTGCAGTGGCACGCAGCCTGACTGCCCTTGGCCTTGGCCAGGCAGAAGTCCAGGTCAGGGGGATCTGTGGGAGAGGAGCCAGTGGCCACGATGCCTAAAACCCAGAGGCCTAGGCAGAGTTGGCAGCACATGGCACACTGCTGACCACAGTCAGTTGGCCAGGGTGGGTGCCAGGGCCTGGAACCTGCAACCACAGCCTCCCGTGGTGCTGTCCCAGGTTATCAGGAGCCCTAGGCTCTCGTCTCTGCCCTCAGGCCTGGCCACATGGGCTCATGAGAACACCTGACAGTGGGATAGCAGGACCTGTACCTGGTCCAAAGCCAGCCGCAGCCTCCCACTCCCCTCTCCTCTGCGGATGCTGGGTGGAGGCGGAGTGGAGTAGACAGTGGACAGGGAGACTCCAGTACAGTGGGTCCTTGACTTACGAGTCTCCCCGACTAACGAGTTTTTCGAGATACGATTTTTTGCTTTGAGTTACGAGCTAAAATTCGGGTTATGAGCCAGCTTCAGATACCCCACCGCTGGTTGGTGCAGCGAACGTCACAGTGAACGCCACAACATCAGCCCAGCATCACGTGTCTCACTCATTCACTTTAAGATTTGACATACAAGTAATTTGAGTTACGAGCTCTGTCACGGAACAAATTAAACTCGTAAGTCAAGGCCCCACTGTATTCCCAGGATTGTTCTGCTCGGGGGAGAAGCCCCCAGGTCCCCAGGTCACGGCAGGGGAGTCTTCTGCCTGTGGGATGTGCTTCATTATGTACTTGGACGTGGGGCCATCACAGACTTTGGAGTCATCAGGAATCTGGAAGTAACTACAGCAGCTGGCAGGGCATAAGGGGGCTGGTTCCACAGGCCATGCTCACTTCACTGTCAGGTGTATGGGAGCCCCACCTCCCTCTCTCAGCACAACATCCTGTTGGGCCCTAGTCCCTTCACCAGAGCTGTGGGGGAAGGGAGACGGCTGCCCAGCCTGTAATTGTGATGGAGGGTGGGGGTTGTACAGGTCGGTCTGCATGATCCTAAGAGCTATGGGTTTCCAGGACCAGCTTCTGCCTTCAGCAAGCAGGTGTCTGACCACCCAGAGCCACATACACTCTCCCCACCTCACCCCAGGTGGGACTTCCTCACACCTCAGGGTCTCCCTGGGCCTCCATCTCACCCCTGCTGAGCCTTGTTTCCTCCTCTGACAGGGGCAGCACAGATGCCCCCTCCAGGCTGGGTTCAGAGACCCGGGGAGGGGCATCAGCCAGTGTGGGAAGGGGAGGGAGGGAGGGCCGGGGGTTCCTCTTTGCTATCAAACAGGAACACTGGGTGTTTCTCAGTGGCTTCGAGGATACCGACGAAAACCCCAGAATACTGAGTCATTGTGGTGGCAGCTGATAGAGAGCACTCATCCCTGCACCCTCCTAGAAGCAGAAAGACTGGACACTTCTCTCAGCTCCGTGGCCCAAGCAGCACATGGAATTTCATAACCTGAGCGCTCCCTCGCCGCCCTGCCTCCCAGCCTCTTCCCCAAAGGTGGCCGCGTTCCTGGCGCCAGTCCTGGGCGTGGAGTTCATCCTGGGCCTGCTGGGGAACAGCCTGGCCCTCTTCATCTTCTGCGTGCACACGCGGCCCTGGTCCTCCAACGTGGTGTTCTTGGTCAGCCTGGTGGCGGCGGACTTTCTCCTGATCGTCAGCCTGCCCCTGCGCGTGGACTACTACTTCTACCAGGAGACCTGGCGATTCGGGCCCACGGCCTGCAAGGCCAACCTCTTCATGCTGTCGGCCAACCGCTCGGCCAGCGTCGTCTTCCTCACGGCCATCGCGCTCAACCGCTACCTGAAGGTGGTGTGGCCGCACCACGCGCTGAGCCGGGCCTCGGGGCGCACAGCCGCCGGGGTGGCCGGGGGGCTCTGGGGGGGCATCCTGTTGCTCAACGGGCACCTGCTTCTGATCACCTCTCAGGGGAAGTTCTGCCTCAGCTACCAACTGGGCATGAGCCCTTGGGCCGGGCACCACTGGCACCAAGCGCTGTTCGTCTTGGAATTCTTCCTGACATTTGCGCTCATCCTCTTCGCCATCGTGAGCATCGGGCTGACCATTCGGCGCCGGGGCCTGGGCGGGCAGGCGGGCCCGCGGCGGGCCCTGCGCATGCTGGCCGCGGTGGCGGCCGTCTACACCATCTGCTTCCTGCCCAGCGTCCTCTTTGGCCTGGCGTCCATCGTGGCCTTCCGCCTGCACGCCTGCCGCGCCCTGGACCTCTGCTCGCAGCTCTTCCACGGCTCCCTGGCCTTCACCTACCTCAACAGCGTCCTGGACCCCGTGCTCTACTGCTTCTCCAGCCCCAGCTTCTTCCGCCAGTGCAAGGCCCTGCTGGGCCTCGGCCAGGGCTCACAGGACCCAGCCAGCGATGAGAGCTCCAGCCAGCCCCCCACCCGCCTCCAGGAGGCCTCCAGAAGGTAGAGGCCCCGGGGAAGCTGCAGGCGCAGGGCTCCCTGGAGGTCTCGTTGGAGTGAGGGACTAGGGTCTGCGGCAGTGGGGAGCCTGGCTTGGAGGGACAAGGTCACTCCTGGACTGTTGCCAGCAGAGACTGCCACAACCAACTGGACAAGGGACATCTGCAGGAGCCAGGTGGGTGGCAGGGAGAGAAACAGGCTTGGCCTCACCGAGACGTGTGTCCCTGGTGCCATCCCGAGGGCAGGAGGAGTCAGATGGCAGGTGGGGACGGCAGGGGCTGCAGGGGCTGCCCAATCCCGCCGGGTCGGAGCTGATGGCTGAGAGCAGCTGCGTTTTCTCGCTTGTCCCTTTCAATAAGAATAAACTTCCTTTTGAAAATGCAAGCCTATCTTGGCTGTTCTAAAGAAACCTGAATAAATGTCTTTGGGTCCACCCAGTCCTGGCATCAGTAGGGTTCGAAGGGAATGCCCCCAAGGTGAAGGGAAACTCTGGGGAAATGTGGGGAAGCCATCCAGGGTGCCATGCTTCTACACAACTCAGAAGTGTCCTCAGGATCATGGGAGGGCACCCCTGCTGAACCCCCGGGAGGCCCTACAGCCCTGCTGGGCCCCCGGGATGTCCCACAGCCATGCTAGGCCCCTGAGAGGTCTCTGGTCCTCTCTGGCCTTCAGCTTCCCTTCTACAATCCCTGAGGTCTTGCCCAAAGCAGCAAGGACCAGGCCCTGCCCTGCTCTCCCCTGAGACCATGTGGAGGTCACCACCTCCACCCAGTCCAGGCTCCTGGCTCACTTCCAGCTCCCCCCCCCCCCCAGGCTTTCTTCAGCCCCAAGTACACGACCATGGCCCTGACCCTGGCCCTACGGGACAGGACTGGGGTGAGGGCCGGGGCCTCAGGGTCACCAGCGCTGGCTCACAGCTCTCCCCGAAGATCATCTTGCCCACCTCTACCCCTTTCTGTTCTATTCAATATGCCAGTGGTGTCTGAGACCATCTGGGCTACTTCATCTGGTGGCCTGGGTTTCTCAGGTACAGGTGTGTAACCTGGCATGAATCGGGGTTTTGCTCTTTTTTTGGAGAAAGGGATAGTGGTTGTCCCTAGTGTCCAAAGGGGAAGTCACAGGGTGGGGACATAGCCTTCAAGGCTCCCAAAGGACTACTTAGAGGTCATTAAAGCCCCAAAGATGTATCTCCCGGCCCCTTCCATCTCCCCATGTGTCCCCAGCCCTGACCACCTCAGAACAACAAACACCTCCCGAAACACACACGTGCCTTCCTGCTGGGGAGATGGAAGGGGCCGGGACTGGTTCTCCACTTATCACCCCAGACAAGGGCTTCTAGGCCTCGAGTACAGGGACCAAATCCTCTCTCCCTGTTTCCTTAGGAGTTTAATCCACTCAGTCCAACCCTCTCATATCATGGACAGGGATGCTTTTCCACCTCAGGAATGGAGGCCAAAGCACTGGCTGTCCCCCACGCCCCAGGAGGGAGGCATCCAGGAACAGTGTGGATGTTGGGGTGGGAGATGGAGAGAACGTGTCCAGAGGAGGGCGGTGGCTGAGGGACAATGGGTGGAACCGATATTGGAACCCATTTCCTCAATGTATAGCTAATCCTCTTACCCTTTCTGAAAAGTTACCAGGAGCTCTTAGAACCTCATAGATATAAGAACCCAGCCCAAGGATAGAAAGGGGTGTGCCACCTGGGCCCTCCAAGCTGTCTCCTTGTGTTTCTCTGTCCCCCAGGGCCTCCTGCTCCACTCCTCCACTCTTGTTGCTGCCTTTTTCTCCCTGGTAGTGCCTCTCCCAGGGATGCCTCTCCTCTCCATCTTCTGCCACCACGGAGACAAGCGGGCCAAGCCTGGACCAGCTCAGTTTTGGCCTGAGGTTTGGAATTTCCAAGTCAGACACTTTTATGAACGGGTCGAATGCTCCTGGAGGCTGGGGACTGAGCACTTTCTCATGGAGCCCCACCCCGGGGCATACTGCCAGAGCATGAGTGAGGGAAAAAAATATGATCCAATTAATTTCCTCTCTAGGTGATAATGTTTTTTGTTGTTTTTTTTTGCGGGGGGGGGGGGGGGGGGGGGAGTGAGAAAAGATGGGGGAGGAAGCAGGCTGTTGAAGTGCAGGATTTTCTACAAATGGGAGGGCAATGCCCGAGGTAGTATAAAGTGAGCTGAAGGCAGGGTGAATACAGACCCCATTTCTACATTCGGGTTCCAAATAGCACAAGGTCCCTGGGTGGGCTGTCTACTCGGAGTGGATTTTGAACAGTGCCTTCTCTCTCCTCTTGCTCTGAATGTAACCTGCTGTCACTCTGAGGGACAAGCAAATGGCATCCATGACTCTGCTCCTGGGACTCTTGTACGGAGGGATAGCAAGCGGGACTGGGTTGATGGGCCTGTGGCCACTAATCATCCAGCATTTACAGGGCATCCACCAGTAGCCAGACACTAAGCTACAAAGACAGACAGTAAACTCTGACCTTGAGCCCTCCAGGCCAAGCCTGGGAGAGACAGACCTGCAAATAGATCAAATGCACCCCAAGCCAGGATAATCCAGGGCATCTGAGGGAGCAATGCACCTGAGAGCACAGACAGAGCTAACTCTGCCCAGGTGTCAGTGAGGTAATGCGTGGGGGGCTGAATCCTGGAGGATGAGGAAAATAGTGAAGGGAACAGCATCCCTGACGTGGGGAAGAGCATGAACAAGGGCACAGAGCTGTGAGAAGACTCAGTGTGCAGAGAGGGGTGAAGAGATCACTGAGGCAGGAAAGGAGGAGGCCTAGGCACAGAGTTAGGAGACAGGACAGGCAGGCTGGGCCCTGCAAGCTCAGGAGCCTGGGTTGGCCCCAAGACGATCAATATGGCAGGAAGGAGAATATGTGTGAGGTTTTTAGAAATCAAAGAGGACCAGTTTGGCATCTTGATCAGTCAACTCTGGTAACACTGTGCACAGACTGGTGGGGGGTGTGGGCGTCGACCTAAGTAGGAAACAGTCTGTATTCCAAGCAAGGACCTGAATAAAGGCAGTGGGGGAGACTGTGAAGGGGCAACAATGAGGCACAGTCTAGGTAAAGAAGACAAGTTGGAGGGGCTTGGAGGGCCTCCAGGTAAACATGTTCCGTAACCACTCAGGCTGGAAGTAGGATTTCAGAATCTTCCTCTTACTAATTCGGAATTGAGCTTAAGGGGACGGATGGGGTCACCTGGGAAAAGAGCAAAGAAGACTATAAGAATCATCCTATTTAAAAAATCTCCACAAGTAAGACACATAGAGGAAGACCCGTAAAATGCCCAGAAGAAACCTCTAATTGGAAGAAAACCAGGGATTTTGCAGTAAGAACATAAACAGGGCAAGGCAATCTCTCTGCTCAAGTATAGAGATTGCCCATTAAAAAGAACAGAATGGAGACACCCTTTATGAGGGTAAAAGCCAAACATAAAATACCCAGACAGGCTGCAAAGTGCTTCGTGAAAGAATAAAGCATTTTCCAAAACTCCTAATTGCATGCTGAAGAAAGCTGATCTGAGAACAAAAGGATGTGCCCCGGCCAGCGTGGCTCAGTGGTTGAGCACCGACCTATAAACCAGAAGGTCATAGTTCAAATCCAGTCAGGGCGCATGCCCAGGTTGCGGGCTTGATCCCCAGTAGGGGTTGTGCAGGAGGCAGCTGATCAGTGACTCTTTCTTATCATTGATGTTTCTGTCTCTCATTCCCTCTCCCTTCATCTCTGAAATCAATAAAAAAATATTTTTAAAAAATGAAAACAAAAGCGTGTGTCTGACAGTCTGCTCAAGCATCTTGGATTGAAAACCTGGGTTAACAACCCATTGTCTGGTACTATTAACACAAGCTTTTTAAGAAGTGATAGACTGGCCCTAACTGGTCTGACTCAGTGGATAGGGCATCAGCTCTCAGACTGAAGGGTCCCAGGTTCAATTCCAGTCAAGGGCACATACCTTGGTTGCAGGTTCCCTGGCCCTGGTCACGGTGGGTGCAGGAGGCAACCAATTGATGTGTCTCTCTCACATTGATATTTCTGTCAGACTCTCCCTCTCCCTTCCATTCTCTAAAAATCAATGGAAAAATATCCTCGGGTGAGGATTAACAAAAACAAAGTGATAGACTGTCTTTTGTGTAAAATTTAATAATATGTAAAACATGTTCTGTATTGATTATAGATTCATAGATATGTATTGTGTAAAATCATGCATTGGGATGATAAACACCAAATTAAAGAGAGTGCTTGCTTGTGAGACGGGGGAACAAGGGAAGGGGGTTCACAGGTGACTACCACTGTATCTGAAATTATCTTTGTAAAAAAATCTGGAAAAAGTAACTATGAGCAGTATCTGAATGTTACTTAGCTTTTCTCTGGGTAGAGAATGAAGGGGTCGGTGTCATGAACAAAGAAAAGTAATATGATGACAATAGCTTCAAATGCTCCAGAAAGTTCAAGTGCGATGACTGAAAACAGTGTTGGGTTTGGCAATTAGGTCACTAATGCCTTTATCGACAGCAATTTCAGTGAGTGGCTGGGAGTAGGGGCAGAATGGAAGCCATAAAGTACGATAATGGGTTGAGATATTAATGAGATTTGAAGCAATGGAGACAACTCTTCCCTTTTCCAAATGTGCCTGCCAGCAAAGGGAGATACGCCAATAGCTTCAGGCAAAGCTAAGTAGAGGACAGAAGTTGTGGTGGTTTGATTGTTCTGTTGTTGTGTTGACTAGATGGAGAAATTTAAATCCAGTGGTGGAAGAAGGGAGAGAAGGTGAAAATGAGGGGAGAGGGAAGAAAATGATGATAGAACAAAAACAAACACTCTGTCCCAGGCCCTGTACTAAGCACTGTACGATTTATTTAGTCCTATGAGGTAGATACCATTATCCTAACTTACAGATGGAAAGACTGAGGCAGAGAGAGGTTGAATAACTTGCCCAAGGTCATATAGCTAGTGAGTGACAGCCTGGTCTGAGTCAGGACATTCTACTGCAAGGGGGGGTCAGGGAGGGATGGATTCAGCATGTGGGTGCCAGAAGGGTCCTCTAGAGGCCCGGGGGTCCCTCCTTGGGTTGTTAGAAAGGCACTATTACATACAGAGGGCCTTGGGCGGAGGGGAAGACAGGTGAAGGGATTCTTAGATGACTTGGCTCTCGGTGTGTGAGGGCTTAGGGAGTGACAAAGGACTGGAATAGCTGGTTCTGAAAATAAGAACACAAGCTCCTGACCCGCTAGCCTGCGTGGCTCAGTGATTGAGTGTCGATGTATGAACCAGGTCACAGTTTGATTCCTGGTCAGGGCACATGCCCAGGTTGCAGGCTCGATCCCCAGTGTGGGGTATACAGGAGACAGCCGATCAGTGATTCTCATCATTGATGTTTCTCTCTCTCCCCCTCTTCCTTCCTCTCTGAAATCAATAAAAACTTTTTTTAAAAGATAACAAGCTCCTAGCATACATATAAAAGGGCCACTAAGCAAGCAGCACAAAGGTACTTGGGGAGTCAGCACCCACAGCTATGGGGCAGCAACAGCCCCTGCAGGTCGCATGGTTTCCCCCAGTGAACCCTGCAGTTCAGGAGCAAGAGTGGAACAAGTAGGAGGTAAAACTTAGCCAGAAGAAACCTCCTGAGGAAGTGTGACCTTAACAAACCCAGTCTCGGCAATGGAACTTAAGGTTGGTACACCTTGGCAGGGAGGGCCTGGGACACTCTGAGCTCTACAGATCAGCTTCCAGAAAGAAGGAAGTATTCAAGTCAGGATAAAAAGTCTAAATAAAATGACACCAAGAACCACGGGCACCTTAGGGATTCCATGGAGGGGGGGCTGCTGTGTTCGACCTTGAGGGCTCCCTCTGCTTCACAGAGCCTTCCCTGACCACCGGTCCAGCCTCACTGAGCCCTCTATCCCGGAACTCCTCCAAGTACTGGCACAGCCCAAGGTACAAGCTTCTCTGTTCTCCAGTAACCTCATGTGCTTATGTCTTGCTTCTCCGGAAACTCTGGAAACTTGGACTGACAATCTCTCTCTCCCTCTCTTGCATCTCTGTATCTCTCTATCTCTATCTCGCAATCTCTCAGTCTCTCACAAATGCCAGCAAACAAGAGTCACAAACAGGTGTTCCTCCCAGACGTGGGCTGGAGCAGTCCCGAGTGAGCCTGCAATGGCCCAGCACAGCAACTGAGGCAGAGTCTACCCAGCCGGCCGACAGGCTGGGACCAATGAGATACGCACTAGAGAATAACGTTTCCAGGCAGGCGCCAGCACTCGGCCTGGGAAAGAAAGGGAGAATGCAGGGCATTTGGGTCAGGCTCCCTTTGCCTTTTAAGTCACCTCAGACATTTTTATTTCTGCCTTTCAGGCCCGAGGAGGACGGTATGAGAAGAAGGTGCTGGGCTTCTGTTTGTGGAACATGCAGCTCCTGTGTCCACTTCTTTTGCACAGGAGCCTTCCCCATGCACAGGGCACAGCACACGCCCTCAGCTCACACCCCATGGCTGGCACTGGGCAGAGCAGTGCAAGGTGGTTGATGGGCAAACGGCTGTCTGTTGCTCCTCATACCTCCAGGTTTGGGGGACACAGGGTCAAAGGCCACCTATCGGAGTGACCTGGCCTCACAAAACCTCCATTTGGCTTATGAGACAGCAGAAGATGCAAACCCTGAGAGTCTAGGCATGTGGGGACATCAGGTCACTGGCCTAGCCTATGCCTCCCCAAGGCCCTCAGAGCTACGCAGGGGATGCAGCACCCGAGACCAGGAGCGCCTGATGCCAGGGCTGTGTGCACCCAGCTGGACAGCTGAGCCACTGCCCCAGCGAAGGACAGCATAAACCAGGCATCATTTCCCGAAATTGATTGGAAACACGATTGATCAGTAGATGGCAGCTACCTACAGATAGACGGTGCACACTAATGTCGCTCTCCGAATGAATGGTCCTGGGGAAACACTTCTGACCACTGATGCATGTTCGGGGTCACTGTTCTCCGGCAGGGAAACCAGAGATCGGGGGAGAGACATGGGCAGGGGGGACAGATACCTGGGTCACAGCTTTCCTGAGGGCCATGGTGAGGTGGGGCTGCTACCTGGGTAAGTTCCCCCAAAGGAAAACAGGGACAACTGCTAAGAATAAAGGCTTTCTCCCTCCCTCCCAAACGCACGTTCCTCTCTGGGTAGAGTGAAAAAAAAATCTATAAAAACCCAGGGGCAGTTCCTCTGTCTCCCCTCACCGGGACCTCAGGACAGCATGGGGCATGAACACCAGGCTCGGACATGATACAGAGCACATGTCCTAGCCTGGTTACCCTCAGACCTGCTCCTTGCCCTTCCCAGCTCCGCTGAGTGGTGGGGAGCTGACCGCTGAGCTTGCCTGTCCCGGGCCCCCAGGTCGGCTCGCTTCCAGCTGGGTGTAGCTAACAAGTGGCACCTGCAGAAATCGGGAAGCTACACGCTAGGGAGAATCAGGCCATTTCTCCCGTCTCTGCCTGGGGGATTGTTTCTGGCAAGGACCGTGCCTCCTGTGGCTGCAGCCCCTGCAGGATAGGCCCCCTATGGTCCCAGGTTCCTCCCAGTGTTCCTGCGCCCCAGGCTCTAGTAACAGGGCCTCTCCCCTGTGTCCCATCAGCCTTCCAACTCACCTCTGGATTGTGCCCCCCCCCCACTTCCGTTTGGCCTCGCAGCATTTCTTGTTTCTGTGCTACAATTACCTGGATTAAAACCCCTCTGTTTTAATACTTAGAGAGGCTTCTGTTTTCCTGGTTGGACACTGACACAGAAACTGGGCTGTGGGCAAGGTGGACTTGTGAGAGGCGAGCTAAAGAGCCAGTCTGGTGTCCTCCTCTTTTGCACCCCATCTAGGATAGGAAATTGGGGGTTCGGAGGGGTATGCTAGAGAGGGGAGATGACTTGCAGAGCTTCTGGGATCTCATCCAAGGGAGCACAGACCAGGCTCAGCACAGCACCCACTGCGCATGTCGGCTGTGGGCCATGCAGACAGACTTATGTCCACCCACAAGCTCATTGCACAACACTGCACACCACTGACACATACAATGGTGACGCGGTGGCCCCAGGAAGGGGGTGGCAGGGAAACCCTGTCAGCACCAAGTGCTCAGACCAGCAAAGGCCGTCGGAGGCTCCTTGGCGTCTTTCCGCTTCCCTGGAGTGTTCACTCGAATGCTACGGGGCTTTCCAGAGGTGAAGTGAGAGCATGAGATCTTACTCAACATCCTCTTCGTAGGAGGATGGGGCTGCAGAGCCAGCTCTGACTACAAGGCGGAGGAAGAGCTTTCTTGGTACACGTGGCTCACACGGAGCTGCACCTGTGCCAGAGACACATGTGCCCCGGAACTGGGGTGGGCCTCCCCGTTCCTCCCTCAGACCTGGCCTGGCCCCGTCTCCACTTCTCCTGGGCCTGGTAACCAGGCAGAGAGAATGAAGCTGGAGCAGCGTCACGGGCAGCTCACTGCTTCTCTGACAGACAGGGCGTGGAGAGACAGCTTTCCCGTGTCTCTCAAGAACACACCACATGGTATGTGCTGTGGAGCCAGTCCCCCCCACCCCCAGGTCTTTTCTGAAGGGGCTTCTCTTGGGAAACCCTAAGGACAAGACCTGCCACCTCCTCCCGCTCCCTGAGCTCCTCTGACACGGGCCCACCCGAGGAGCCCCAAGCCAAGACCCAGAATAGCCCAAGAGTTGGCAGTGGTGAGAATGTCCCCGGGTCACCCCCACAGGAGCCTAAGACGAGAGCCAACTCCTCCTCAGGAGAGAAGCCACCGTGACTGCAAAACCAGAAAAGGAAAAGGCAGCTCAACTCCAAGCCTCGCCGTCAGCAGCATGCATCATCACATCCTCTCTGCAGGCGGCACCCAGCTCTGAGGATCTGGACATCGAGAATGTCACGGTCATTTTAGTGATACTTCACTCTGCCTGGGGACTGAGGGGGTGGGATCAACTCAATGGCAGCCACTCTGTCCTGCAACCGCCTGGCTGTTTGGGGCACCTACCATCAGCTGCCCAGCTGCCTCCCAGCTGCAGACCCCATGGACAGCTGGGAGGCCAGACTCCAGTTTTCTCCTGGTGCTGTGACCGGGTGCTCTGCAGCCTTGTCCCTGCAAACGGAGGGCAGGGGAGTAGCCAGACTTCACATCTGCTCGGGGAGCCAGGGGGGCACCAAGTTCCTGGCCCTGCAGCTGTATGCACAGAGCATGGAGCACAGTCTGTGGTGCCATCGAGGGCTGGTGCTGACAGCAGACAGGAGCCCAAGCCAGTGGAAACCAGGCTGCAGGCAGGTCTCCTGGGGGCCAGGCACAGGTGCTCACAGAAGCGTTTGGGCCGGAAGGGTGAGGACTCATGGTGTCCTATTCTCAGACCCACCTGCGAACCCAGCTCTCTCACTTCACCTTCCGTGATCAAATAATTCCATCTGCTTAAAATAGAGCTGGGTGATCTGTAACTTGTTGAAAGAGCAACCTGGCTGCAATGCCCCGTCGGCTGGTCTGGCCGTATGCGAATGGGACAGCATGCAAATGGCTTGTCACAGTGATAGACATGCTTGGCTCAGTGTAAACACTTGCTCCAGTGGGAGCTGTCAGGGACCAAGCAGAACCAAGTAGAACACCAGCTTCTCTTCAGTGACAAAATACAGACAATATGAAGAGTCACAGGCTTCCCAAAGACACTTTTCTTATCATTTGTCAGGACCTCGGGTAAGTCTGTACCTTGGAGGGGTAGGGAAGGGATCAAATATAGGATGCAGGAGGTAAAGAGGAAAATTTCCCCATTAAAAAAAAAAATTACTATGAAGCCGATTGAGAAAAAGCCAGTGACAGTAACAGCGAGGACAAGGGAAATGTGAATTGCATAAACACTGGCACACCTGTTAAGAAAAATCCATTCAGAAAGATGCCATGTCCCTCCTGTACACGGTCATACAGCTTACAACAGAGCTGAGCTGGCGCATGCAGGGCAGCAGTGGCTCGGAGCTCTCAGCCGCCCTCCTGCTCCAAGAGCTGCTGTGCAGGGATGCAGGGTGCGGAGAAGGGAGGAAGTGGAGTGGCTCCCTCTTGCCCTTAATTCTCAGGCAGGTCTCTCGGGGACAGCGAGGTCTCTGAGGAAAGCGAAGTGACACTGATTCACACAGGGAGACTCAGCTTTTGGGACGTGCACTCCTACAGTTTCTTCCCCCTCCCCCCTCATCGAGTCTCCATGGGGTGTGCATGGAGGTCTCCCACTGAAATGTACTGGGGATGGGGCTGCCTCCTTCCCAGGCACGGCCATGAACAGCAGCAGGGCAGTGGAGCAAGTCTTGGATTACAGGATGAAACAGGGGTAGCTCAGTCTGACACGCAGCATGTGAGTTCTGGAAAAGGAAAGAAAAAAGGTCAGAGTTAAATGAGTTCCGACGGCAGACGAAAAGTGAGGAGGGATGGAATCAGCCCTCCCACCAACATGGCAACCTTCGAGGGAAGGAGGCTGGGCATGAAGTCAAATAAAAGCTCACAATGCAGTTTAAGGCTGGACCAAAGGAAACTTTAATTGAGGCCAAGAAAATATGTGAATAATACTGAAGTGTTAAAAGCTGGGTTTTGGATGGGCAGATTGAGTCATCACTGCAGGTGCAATCCCTCACCTGGCCAGTGCTTATCTGCTTATCAGACTGCCATCATGGAACTTCTGTGACCAGAGGCTAAGGGACGGGGCGCACACTAAGGGGGGAGGAGGCACCACCGGATCTGAGGTAAGCATAATTAACCATAAGGATGTGGGCACTCAGATGCTAGAAACACAATTTTTTTGTAGGAGGGGAATAAACTTCAAACATCCACAGGGTCCCTCATTCTCACCCTCTCCACTTCCCCCAAAGACCTTCAACTCTCCTGTCCCAGAGCTGGGCACCTACAGACTCTCAGGAGAAATGAGTAAATGAAAAGCAGAAGTGGCTGAAAACCACATCATCACCATCTGGCATTATCAGTGGGTTGTGAAACCTTTGGCTTGGTTATTAGGAAAGTGGCGGGGAGGGAAGTGGGGCTTGTTTGCTGAGATGGGGATCAGGGGGTCCGGCCACGGTGGCACTCGGCTGTTCTTGCCCATCATGCACGCCACCTGCAGCCAGCAGAGAACACGGGGACGCTCACCTTCACAGCCTCCCGCCCTCCTGAGGAAGGTCTGCAGGCCGGAGCAGAGCTGCGCCTTCACTTCAGGAGCCTTTCTAGAACAGGGGAGATATATGTGCACAGCCTGGTATTTGGTAGGGCTCAGCAGATACGTGTTCAATAAAAACCCAGGTAATTCAGTTAGGACTCGGGCTAACCTTTGCTTTATGGAGCCTACTGACAATGTAACGGACTTATTTAACTTTCATCAGAACCTTGTCTAGGTGAGAAAGGTTAGGAAACCTCTCAAGGTCACACAGCAAGTAAGTTGAGGAATCAAGATTTGAACCCAGATCTTAATTCAGATCAAGTTTCTCCTACGACACCAAGCTGCCTATTCTATATCCAGCCCAGTAAGAGCAAACTATCCTCTTCAGTGTCTGAATTAATGGCTAAATATGTCATTACATTTCAGAAGCCTCCCTCTCTCTCTCTCTCTCTTTCTTTTTCTTTTTCTTTTTTTTTGGGGCGGGGGGGTGAGTCCTGTCATTCATTTATTTGTCCAAACCCCAATGGAATTAAGCCATCTGCCAGAAGAGCTACCTGTAATAGTTTTCCAAGTGTCTGGTCTGCCATGGTAAACTGTGCTTTCATCTCTTTATACTCAACTTATCTGCTCCAGTTTCCAAAGCAACCCTCTCCCCACAGCATCTCGGGATCTGGCATCCAGGTTCACATCAGCCTTCACCAAACTGGCCATGGCTTTACGTTGGGATATGTCACCTCTCTGCATTCCAGGCTGAAGAAGCCCAATGCTTATCACCTGCCCTCCGAAGGCTATCACTTCACTCCCGGCTGCTCAGGCCTCACTGCATTTCCTTGAAACAAGAATGAGAGCCACAGGCAGCAGACACAGAGGCCCCCAGCAGGGCAGCCCTGGCAGAGGCCCTAGGAAAAGATCTACCCGGGGCAGAGAGTGACCCACAATCCAAGTACGTGCCCTTGACCTGGAATCAAACCTGAGACCTTTGAGTGTGTGGGCCAACACTAACCACTGAGAACACCGGCCAGGGCTGGCTGAGTTTTGAACTACCGTGGGCAGGTGAGACTGCAAGAAGCCCAGTGGGAAACATCTGCTGGAAGGCTAAAGGAGGCCAAGCAGCAACCTCACAGTTGTCCAGTGCTGAGAAGACAGAGTTCAGAACTCAAGTTCTGCAAAGTTAGAGGGATGGGCAAACAACTTGGTTTTTCTATTGAAATCTCATGGGACTAAGAAAAAAAACTAACATAAACCAGATCTAATACAGCTTTAAACCAAGCCCCTACATAGTCGAGATGATCTGCCAACTTAATTGCTTTCTAGAACAAAATTCAATATTCTGCGGAGGAAAATAACAGAAGCCAGAGTCTCTACAACTTTATATCCACACTGACCAGCATTCATTAAAAATTATTAGACCTGAGAAGCAGGAAAATGCAACCCATAACCAAATAAAAGTTAACTGGAAGATGACTAAAGGATGATTCAGATGTTAGAATTAGCAGATATGGACTTAAACTATTTACTATATATTTATGTTAAAGAATCTATAGATCTTACAGCTCGGCCACCGACATGCCATCCAGACTGAGGAAGGCCTGAAAACTTCAGGGCCACGTGAGCCACGGCCACAGCCACATCGGCAAGCACAGGAAGCACCCGGGGCAGGGGGGAGGGGGAGGTAATGCTGGTGGCTTGCATCATCACAGGATCAACTTTGACAAATATCACCCAGGTTACTTTGGGAAAGTCGGTATGAGGCATTACCACTTAAAGAGGAACCAGAGCTTCTGCCCAACTGTCAACCTTGATAAACTGTGGACTCTGGTCAGTGAGCAGACATAGGTAAATGCTGCCAAAAGCAAGACTGGAGCTGCTCCTATCACTGATGTGGTGCAATCAGGCTACTACAAAGTTCTGGGGAAGGGAAAGCTCCCAAAGCAGCCTGTCATTGTGAAGGCCAAGTTCTTCAGCAGAGTAGCTGAGGAGAAGATTAAGGGTGTTGGTAGGGCCTGTGTCCTGGTAGCTTAAAAGGGGGAAAGATAAAAAAAAAAAACAAAAAAAAAAAAAAAAAAAAAAAAAAAAAAAAAAAAAAAAAAAAAAAAAATCTATAGAAAAATCTGGATATAATGGGTGACAAGATGATGTATCTTAGAAGAAATATAAAAGAACTAAATGAAAATTCTAAAACTGAAAAATATAAAATCTGAAATAAAACCATTTGTTGGATGGAATTAAAAGCAGATTTAATACTATGGAAGAAATGAGTGAACTTGAAGATAAATCTCTAAAAATTATTCAAACTGACAAAGGGTACATACCATATGACTCCATTATATAAAATTCTAGAAAGTGTAAACTAATCTGTGGCAACCAAAAGCAAATCCGTGGTCACCTGGGAGGGGTGGGGGAGATGGGGAGGAAGGGTGACTAGAAAGATTATAAAGGGTGCAAGAAAATGTCTGAGGGTGATGGATAAGTTTATTATCTTGATTGCTGTCATGGTGTCTATATATGTCAAACTTGTCAAATTGTATATTTAAAAATGTGTATAGTTTACTGAAGGTCAATTATGCTTCAATAAAGCTATTTTAAAAAGAAATGATAATGGAAAATGGCTCTTTAGGGTTTTTAAAAAATCTGTGCTGGAACAGCATGCGCTGCCTTTAGAGATACTATAAGAATCATTCTACTTTGAGTTTAATAAAACTAAAAAAAAGTCATTTAAAAAAATGAAAACAAGAGGAGGCACTAGCTGGTTTGGCTCAGTGGATAGAGTGTCGGCCTGCAGACTGAAGGGTCACAGGTTTGATTCCAGTCAAGGGCACGTGCCTGGGTTGCAGGCTCAATCCCCAGTAGGGGGCATGAAGGAGGCAGCTGATCAATGATTCTCTTTCATCGTTGATGTTTCTATCTCTCTCTCCCTCTCCCTTTCTCTCTGAAATCAATAAAAAATATATTTTTTAAAAAAATTTAATAAAATAAATAAAAACAAGAGGAAAAGAAAACTGTTGTGGTCATATTAACATCAGACAAAATAGATTTCAAGACAAGTAGTATTAACAGAGAGAAAGATCATTTCATAATGATAAAATAGTAAAAAAGACAAAAATTCCAAATACATATATATTCAATAACAGAACTTCAAAATACATGAAGCAAAATTTGACAAACTAAATAGACAAGTCTGGTTGGAGTATAACATTTAGAAAGTCTCCAGAAAGTAGAGTAAAAAGACAAGAAAACCAGAGAACCAGTGCAGGAGGTCCAGTATCTACTGTCTTAACGATTTTTCTGCTGACTGCTCTCAGGTGCCTTCAGGTGGTCGGCCCTACTCCCTAGGACTTATTCTCACCATGCGCACTGACTGCCCCCAGAGGCTCCTACAGGCACTCGGGGAAGCTGCCATAGGACTGTCAGGAAAATAGTCTTCTCAGATATCCTCTTTAGGAACCGCCATCTGACAAAGTTGCCTTCAAGCCTGCTCCTCATTTTACATTAATTATTTTTCATATTCATTAATATGTAAATAGTTGCTAATAAAAAATATTTGGTTGAGTGAGAATACATAGATTATAACTCAGATGGTTTCTGAGCTTAAAGAGTGCTCAACCATCTGGAAGGGAAAAAAAGAAACAGGGAAAGAGCAAGGTTGAGAAGCTCAAAATGAACCCAATGGGGGACCCAAATCAACGAGAGTGGGACGAATTTTTCCATTTCCATTGCCCTGGGGACTCTGCAGTTCCAGAAGACTTCTCACTCCTTCACTGGGACCCAAAGAGACTGCTCAGGGGGTGCCTAAATCTGTTTGGGGGATTGGTCTTTACTGCCCTGGGGCGTCTAATACTGATGTCCCAGTGGCTTGCTCAGACATTTGTGCCTGTTCTTTTGATGGATGAGTTGAATCTATTCCAAAGAAGAGTGTTTTTCAGGGACCAAATCCCCTCCCTCTGCTGTTTCTTCCCTTTCGTTTCCCAAGCATCTAAAAAACCTTGGGACCTGGCTTTCAAGTCAAAGGTTCACTTTCTTTCTCAAAGGTTCACCTTCTACGTGTCACTGAGAATGGAAGTACATAGGGATAGACTGGCTTAAAAGGTTTCCTGTAATGACCCTTGCAGGTAAACAGAGACACTTTTCGAGGAGGCCAGAGCTGGCCCTCAAGTTGAGGACCCTTGCGTAACTACCATGGACTTCTGTCACCCTTCTAAGACCTCCACAATACTGGGAGGGTCACTGGTATAGACCTCTTACAGCTCACACGCTAGTACTTCCCTCAGGGACAGGAAAGAGGTATTTGATTATTAGTAAACCCAGGCATGGTCCAAGGGGTGGCTAATTTGGCATCCTACCAGAATATACCAAAACACCAAGTTGTGGATTACTCATGCCTAACGTACTTGAGTCTGTCTTCCTCTACAAACCCATCTCAAAGCTTCACACAGGATGAGGGAACATCCTTCCACTGCTCTCAGATAATGCTTCAACTTTCCTGACCTCTTCTAGATACATTAGGTACTCTGCTATAATTGCTTCACATTCAGTAAACCCTGCAGCCATAAGGATCCATTTAAAAAAATACTGGGGAAGGGGGGGGGGTGCACCTTGAAGGTACTTTTATGTACTTAACCAGGTTATATAACATTACACCTTGAGACAAGCAGACCAGAGGTCAGTCTAGGGTACTCAATGTTCTTCCATAAACAATGTTTTGGAAAATTCAAAAATATTATAATCTTTGGAAATGGCATAAAAATTTTGACAGAAGGCAGGCTAGGCTGAAGCATGCCTAGGAGAGCCATCAGCTGTTCCTGGCCGTCTATTTTTACTGGGATTTGTGAAGACAGCAGATGCAGTCCCTGAGCTCTCTCACTGGTACCATGGTCCTCACCACCACCCATCTCCCAGGGTTGGAATGCAAACAGTTGGAACTGTTGAGTCACTGATTTCAGAAACAAGTCACCAAAAGGACAGTCTTCACACCCCAGATCATAATATTGTACTTAGAGACATCCATGTTAGATATTCTCTCTACATGGGAGATTGAGAGAAATAATATTACTCAATGTAGAAAACAAA